GACTCCATCCTTGTCTCCTCCTGCCAGAGGCAAGTCACAGGTGGCACTGAAAATCATAAAGAACGTTGGGAAGTACCGAGAGGCTGCCAGGCTGGAAATCAACGTGCTGAAGAAAATCAAAGAGAAGGACAAGGAGAACAAGTTGTAAGTTCCCAGTGCCACCTCCTGGCACACAGAGCAGCACGGGGTGAGGATGGGGTGAGGGGAAACTGGCCCCATTCCTCCATGCCTTGTCCCACAGGAACTGGGGAGCTCTCTCCAAAGGTGGCTGAGTGTTGGGGTGTTGTTTGTGAGGGCACCAGGATGAGGGGAGAGATTAATCAGACTCCATGTTTCTTAGAAGGCAGATTTATTATATTATGATATTATATTAAAAGAAAATGATATACTAAACTATAGAGAGAAAGGATACATGAGAAAGCTAGAAAGGAATGAATACTAAAACCTGTGACAGAGCAGAGAGTCCAACAGAGCTGGCCTGGGGCTGGTCATTAAGTCAAAACAATTCACATGGAACCAATCAAAGTTGCCCCTGCTGGTGAACAACCTCCAGACCACATTCCAAAGCAATCAGATAATTATTCTTTACATTTCTTTTCTGAGGAGTCTCAGCTTCTCAGGAGAAAAACCCTGGTGAAGGGATTTTTTATAAAATAAGGTGACAGCTGAGCAGAGCAGGAAGCATCTCCCTGGGGTGCTGTGCTGCACGGAGCTCTGCTCCCCAGCCCCTCCTGCAGTGCCAGGGCAGCAGGACAGCTGTCCTGAGCCCCCTTAAAGGTGCTGAAGCCCTGCCCTGCCGGTCCCTGCACAGCCTGTGTGTCCTCATGTCGGACTGGTTCAACTTCCACGGCCACATGTGCATTGCCTTCGAGCTGCTGGGCAAGAACACCTTCGAGTTCCTGAAGGAGAACAACTTCCAGCCCTACCCCCTGCCGCAGATCCGGCACATGGCCTACCAGCTGTGCCATGCCCTGAGATGTGAGTGAGCTGGGCACAGCAGGGCACTGGGCTGGGCACAGCAGGGCCCTGCTCCTCTCTGGTGCTTACAGAGGTGCTTCCCTCCTCTCTCTGTGCAGTTCTACACGACAACCAGCTGACTCACACTGACCTCAAGCCAGAAAACATCCTGTTTGTCAACTCGGATTTTGACACTCTGTACAACGAGAACAAGGTGGGTTCTGTCCCAGGGAGCACTGGCTGCACAGGAGCAGGCTGCCTTTATCCCTCCCTGCAGAAATTGGATCTGCCCTGCTCTGTCCAAGCCTTCAGAGCCTGGGAAGTGGGAACAAACTGGAAGGCAGAGCTCTTCTTCCTGCTGTGCCTTCCAAAAGCCTTCAGGCTGCCCAGAGCGTTCAGGGATTTTCCATAAAGCTGCTCTGGGATGTTCAGAGCTCAGAGCTCCACAGCTCCATCCCTGTGAGGAGGTGCAGAGCAGCACTTGGGGCTCCTCAGAGCTGAGAGCTCCACAGTTCTATCCCTGTGAGGAGGTGCAGAGCAGAGCTCCTGAGGCTCCTCAGAGCTGAGAACTCCACAGTTCTATCCCTGTCAGGAGGTGCAGAGCAGAGCTCCTGGGGCTCCTCAGAGCTGAGAACTCCACAGTTCTATCCCTGTGAGGAGGTGCAGAGCAGAGCTCCTGAGGCTCCTCAGAGCTCCACAATCCATCCCTGGGAGGAGGTGCAGACCAGAACTCTGGGGGCTCCTCAGAGCTTGGCGCTCCATAGCTCCATCCATCCGAGGAGGTGCAGAGCAGAGCTCCTGAGGCTCCTCAGAGCTCCACAATCCATCCCTGGGAGGAGGGGCAGACCAGAACTCTGGGGGCTCCTCAGAGCTTGGGGCTCCTCAGAGCTTGGAGCTCCATAGCTCCATCCATCCGAGGAGGTGCAGAGCAGCACTTTGGGGCTCCTCAGAGCTCCACAGCTGCACGGCAGTGAGGAGGCACAGCCCAGCCCTCCTGGAGCTCCTGGCACAGCCCGCCCTGTGCTCGTCCTGCAGAGCTGTGAGCAGAAGTCCATCCGGAACACGAGCATCCGCGTGGCCGACTTCGGCAGCGCCACCTTCGACCACGAGCACCACACCACCATCGTGGCCACCCGGCACTACCGGCCCCCAGAAGTGATTCTGGGTGAGAATGCACCTTCTGGGCATGGACAGATAACGTCCAGCTCTGGGTGGAACCCCTGTGGTTTCACCGAGCAGGAATGTGGTGGGGGTTGTTGGGAGCTCGGAGTTAATTTGGTTTTCTTTGCAGAGCTGGGCTGGGCGCAGCCCTGTGATGTGTGGAGCACTGGCTGCATTCTGTTTGAGTATTACCGTGGCTTCACGCTCTTCCAGGTGGGATTCTTGTTCCCTGAGAAACTTTTGTGTCCAAAAGGGCTCAGAATTAGGTGAAGGGGAGGGACACACACATCAGGCACTTAAAAATGAGAAGCTGAGTGTGAAAATGAGGCCTGGTTTGAGGAGTGCCTTGCTGGAAGGACAGAGTTTGCATCATTTCTGGGTTATTTCTGTTCTCTGAAGAAAGGGAAAAGCAAAATGTAAAGAGTTGGATAGGACCTGGTGGAGTCCTTTCTCCCCTGTCCCTGCAGAGGTGACAACCTTTTGTCATCAGCTCCCCAAGCCCTGACTGACCCAGCCCTGCTGTGCTCCTTTGCAGACCCATGAGAACCGTGAGCATCTCGTCATGATGGAGAAAATCCTGGGGCCGCTGCCCTCTCACATGGTCCACAAAACTCGGTAAGAGCCTGGTCCTGAGCTCAGCCCAGGCACCTGGATGGGAGGGAGAGATCCTGCCTGACCCCCCCTTCCCCGTGCAGGAAGCAGAAGTACTTCCACAACGGCAGCCTGGTGTGGGATGAGAACACGTCCGACGGCAGATACGTCCAGGAGAACTGCAAGCCCCTGCGGGTGGGTGCTGCTCCCTCCCCTCCCTCCCTGGGGCAGCAATTCCCACTGTCGCTGCTTGGCAGGGAGCCCCAGCTCCCATCTGCAGGGATCCTGCTCTGGCTAGGGCAGGATGGGGATTAGGGACAGGGGGGAGTGTTTGGGGTGGGAGGCACCGTGGCCCTAGAGTTCCTGAGTCCTGGATATCAGGGCAGTGGGCGATGCTCTATTTGGGGTGGGAGGCTGCCCTGGGGAATGCTGCATTTGGGATGGGAAGCAGCCCTGGGGGATGCTACATTTGGGATGGAAAGCAGCCCTAGGAGATGCTGTATTTGGGATGAGAGGCTGTATTTGAGGATGCTGCATTTGGGGTGGGAAGAGCCCTGGGGATGCTGTATTTGGGATGGAAAGCAGCCCTGGGGGATGCTACATTTGGGATGGAAAGCAGCCCTAGGAGATGCTGTATTTGGGATGAGAGGCTGTATTTGAGGATGCTGCATTTGGGGTGGGAAGAGCCCTGGGGATGCTGTATTTAGGATGGGATGGGAAGAGCCCTGGGGGTGCTGCGTTTGGGATGGGATGGGAAGAGCCCTGGGGGATGCTGCATTTGGGGTGGGAAGAGCCCTGGGGGTGCTGCATTTGGGGTGGGAAGAGCCCTGGGGGTGCTGCATTTGGGGTGGGAAGAGCCCTGGGGATGCTGCATTTGGGGTGGGATGGGAAGAGCCCTTGGGTTGCTGGATTTGGTTTGGGGAGAGCCAGGAAGAGCCCTGGGGATGCCGTATTTGGGATGGGAAGCAGCCCTGGGGAATGCTGCATTTGGGGTGGGAAGAGCCCTGGGGGTGCTGTATTTGGGGTGGGATGCTGCATTTTGGATGGGATGCTGCATTTGGGATGGGAAGCAGCCCTGGGGAATGCTGCATTTGGGATGGGAAGCAGCCCTGGGGAATGCTGCATTTGGGATGGGAAGCAGCCCTGGGGAATGCTGCATTTGGGATGGGAAGCAGCCCTGGGGAATGCTGCATTTGGGATGGGAAGCAGCCCTGGGGAATGCTGCATTTGGGATGGGAAGCAGCCCTGGGGAATGCTGCATTTGGGATGGGAAGCAGCCCTGGGGAATGCTGCATTTGGGATGGGAAGCAGCCCTGGGGAATGCTGCATTTGGGATGGGAAGCAGCCCTGGGGAATGCTGCATTTGGGATGGGAAGCAGCCCTGGGGAATGCTGCATTTGGGATGGGAAGGGAAGAGCCCTGGGGATGCTGCATTGGGGTGGGATGGGAAGAGCCATGGGGGTGCTGCATTTGGGATGGGATGGGAAGCAGCCCTGGGGGATGCTGCATTTGGGATGGGATGGGAAGCAGCCCTGGGGATGCTGCATTTGGGATGGGATGGGAAGCAGCCCTGGGGGATGCTACATTTGGGATGGGAAGGGAAGAGCCATGGGGGTGCTGTATTTGGGGTGGGAGGCTGCCCTGCCCAGGCAGGGGCTGAGCCCGTGTCCCTGTCCCTTTCAGACCTACATGCTGCAGGACTCCCTGGAGCACGCTCAGCTCTTTGACCTGATGAGGAGGATGCTGGAATTCGACCCCTCCCAGCGGATCACGTTCTCCGAGGCCCTCCTGCACCCTTTCTTTGCCGGGCTCTCGGCAGAGGAGCGGATGCTGTGCGGGCGCGGCGCCGGCCGGGACCTGAGCAGATGACGGCCGGGATCCCTCGGGCTGGATCCCTCGGACTGGATCCATCGGGATGGATCCCTCAGCATGGATCCCTCGGGACAGACCCCACCGGCCTCTGCAGCTCAGCCCCGCTCCCCTCCCCGAGTCCACAGGGGCTGGGGCACTGCCACAAGGACCCTGGGAGGAGAGGGGGAAGGAAAGCTCCGTTGGAAAGCACAGATTTGTCTATTTATATGTTGTAAAGTTAAAATAAAGTGTTTCTTATTGTTTGATACTTCCCTTGTAGGCGGGTGTAGGGTTGCATTGGCCCAGCTTTGCCTCTTGTGCAAAGGCAGAGGGAGATGGTGAAAAATCACCTGGAATCAGTGAGGGGGAGTGGCCCTGTGTCTGTCCCGGCAGCAGAAGGTTCCAGAAGGAGAGCAGACAAATAAACTCTGCACACAATAGCACACATGAAGAGTTGCACTTTATTTCAGGGCATGGTCCCCCGCAGTGGCAGGAATTGGTCGTTACAAACATCAGGTCACAAAGGGGGTCACCAAGCAGTGCCAGGGCACAGTGATCCTCACCTGGCACCAGAGCAGCACCCGGGGGCAGCGCTGTGCTGCTGGGGGTAGGAACCATCCCCAACACAGCCACAGCAGTGCTCTGCTCTTGGAATTCACTCTGGCACCGTAGGGGTGGCGATGAGGACACCCAGGCCCCGCGCTGGGTCTCTGGGTGCTCCAAAGAGCTGGTACCTCACAGTGCAGGTGTGTGAAGCCAACAAAGAGCTGCAGTGAGGGGAAGCACAGCCAAACACCCAAATGCAGCAGGCAGTGAGCACAGCCCCACACTGTGCCCTGAACCCTGCACAGATTTGGGAATCCCGGTCCCTACAGCAGGGGCTGAACGCCCCTGTTGTGCAACACCATTCACTTTATTTTTATAGTTCAACGTGGGGAAGCATTTCAAGGCTGGCAACAACCAGGGCCTTGGTGCTTCCCAGAGCTCCATCCCTGCAAAAACACCATCACCTGCCCCAGTGCCTTCCAGGCAGGGCAGCTGCACCCTGGCCTGCCCCTGCCCTGCTCCTGGTCCGTGTGTACAAGCTACAGTTCAACAGCCAAACCCAGAAAGGGCAGGAAAAACCTGCAGAAAGCAGAAATTGAAACAGCAAGCCTCCTACTGAGTGTCTCGAGCAAAGAGAGTGAAAGGAAGGGGACTAAAGCTAACACTGACTACAGCAACAACCTTTTTAACCTGCTGCTGCTCCCGGGTGAAGATCCAAGGAAACAGCCAAAAAACCAAAGAAGGCAGAGGGAAACCTTGTGTTTGTGTCGTGAGTAACCAGCACACTGCTGTCCTGTCCCAGTCAGAAGCACAGCCCGGGCGGTGCCACCGCAGCCGGGGCTGAACCGTGGGGCACATCTGTCCCCTGTGCCCAGGACACAGCGAGGGCACAGCCCCCCAGGCCAGAGCAGCTGAGGGGAACCAGGGCTGCAGCCAGCAGGGCACAGCCCTGGTCCTGCTGAGGTAGATATGGCAACGTGCAGGGGCCAGGCCTCGGGGTGAGCCCGGGGCTCAGCAGCCCCCAGGGCCCCCCACACTCCCAGGCTGGACCCAGTAATGGCTTCCTCCGAGCAGGGAAGCTCTTCCCTCCTCCCCTGGCAGCCCTGGCCTTGGTTCTAACAGAGAAAAGGAAAGATGAGTGCCTGACTAAAGCCCCAGCACGGGGCACAAGCGGGGCTGTGGGGCTGGTGATGGGACTGGTCCCTGTGCTGCAGCCTCCCGAGGGATCCGGCTCCCCTGGGCACAGGCAGCACCCGGGGCTCTCCCCGGTGCCAGGGCAGGGCTGGGGAGCCTGCGGGAGCCCTGGGGGTGGGTGAAGTGGGAGAGGAGCAGCAGAGCTCCCAGCACTGCCCACGTTCCCAGCTCCTCCCAGGAGCAGAGCCCTGGCTGGGCTCTGGGGGCACACGGAGCCAGCAGGGTGGGTGCCCAAGCTGATGCCAAGCCAGGGAGCTGGTGGCTCCTCGGCTCGTCCCTGCTCTGGGATCACCCAGGCCAGCAAAAGGAACACAGGAAAGGATAATTCAACATTTCAGGCCAGGCACGGGACAGCAGAGCAGATTTCTGATGGAAATCCCACCCAGGGAATTCCAGAGCCCTCCAGGAGCACAGCAGCTCCCACCACGCCCTCTCCTGCCAGCAGACAGGAGCCAAACCCCTCCCCAGCCAAGCCCACCCCGTACACAGGCTTTGATTCCAACGGGAATGAACAGACCCAGGAGCTACTTCCCAAAGCATACCAAAGGTAGCAGGGATGCTGGAAGGACAGGGGAGATTACCCTGAACATCACCTGCACTACACAGCACCCAACAGCCCCAGAGCAACCTGCCCTGCCTGCTGCACTCCCCCAGCCCTGGAGCAGCCACTCACCAGGCCAGCACAGAGAAAGAACAAAAGAAAACAATCCCACACCCCACGAGGAGGCTGGAAAAATTATTTTCCACACCAGGCCTCCACCCCACAGAGCTGGGCTTCAGCCACGAAGCAAACAAAGAAAAGCCATAAGCAGTAAGGCCTAGCTGAGGAAGGACATCAGTGCTCCCAGAGCATGTGGGAGCCCCTGGCTCCTGACACAAGCTCTCCAAAGAGGGAACCCTCTCTGTGAGGGGCTGGACGGGCTGGGAAGCAGAGGGAGCTACAAGTGCCTTCCAGAACACAGAACAGGGATGGGGCAGCCAGAACCAACATGGGAACCAAACGAGATTTTCCCTCAACACAAGGGATTTCTACACAATCAAGGGATGCTGCTCCCACCAGGATGTCCTTGCTGGGAATAGTCAACCAGAAGGACCCAAAACACATCTCAAAGCTCCAAACCAGCCTTATTTGTACCATGTGCCAGCCAGGGCTGGGCAGCAGCAGGGGACAGACACCATGGTCCTGCACACTCCTTCATCCCACGGCAGGAGAGAATGAAAACAGCTTGGCAGGAACAATTCACTTCTTCTTCCTCCTCATTTTTTGTTTGTTGGGTATTTTTTCATCTCATTTTATGATTATTCCGTTTTTTTTCTTTTTGAATACACAGCGTTTCTTCCAGAAGGCAAACCCTCCAGAACTCCACATCCTTTTTTTCTTTTCTTTAAGGCGTCACCAGAGTCGACCAGGCGGGATCCAGCGCACAGCTTGGCTTTCACAGAGCTCCTCCTCTCTCTCCCTTCAGAGCCAGAGCGCTGCACGGGCTCTAAGTGGAGTGCAGGGGGATGACAAATTTGCAGCCAAAGGGTGAGTGGTAGTTGATGCCCACCTCCTGAAAGACCTTCTGGGGAATGCCAATGTCACAGAGGTAGACGCGGCCGGCGCGCTCGCCCAGCGGCAGCGGCAGCCCCAGGGCCAGCGACCACTTGGCATCGATGCCCAGCTCCATCTCGCTGATGGGGGGGTCTATGCTCAGCACGGGGGCACGGTTCTGGTTGGCCCAGTCCACCACTGCTTTGTACCAAGGCTGGTCTCTCAGGAAGGCATTCTCGTGACAATCCAGGCAGTTGATCACTAAGTCAACCGGGGTGTCTGGGAGGTCTGCAAGAAACACGGACACGGCTGAGAACCAGCGGCACCAGCTGCAGGTTTGGGGCTTGGCTTGCACTCTGCCTGCAGAGCCTGGCCTCACCTGCTGTCACTGGCACCCTCCCCCCCACAGACCCATCCTGAACAGCTCTCCAGCGCTCTGGGGACATCCCCAGCCTGGCAGGTTCACCACCTCACCCAGTGACCAGCTCGTGAGCAGCCCCAGTGCCACTGACTCACCAGTGCAGGCAGCCCAGGGGAGCAGTGGGGCTCTCTGCCCATCAGGGAGGATCATTTTCTATTGCACAAGGTGAAAATAAGGCTGGTCTTTGAACACACCAGCTGTGCTGCACTGCTGCCTGCCCCACCAAGTTGTTGTTCTCAGCTGCTGCATTCCCTCACCTGCTGCATTCCCTCACCTGCCCTGCACCACTCCTGCTGCATTCCCCTCACCTGATGGAACACAAAGTCCTTCGTGCAAAACCATGGAATGGTTTGGGTTGGAATGGACCTTAGAGTTCATCTCATCCCCCCCCCTGCCATGGGGAGGGACCTTCCACTGTCCCAGGCTGCTCCAAGCCCCATCCAGCCTGGCCTGGAACACTTCCAGGGATCCAGGGACAGCCACAGCTGCTCTGGAAAATCTGTCCCAACCTTTTACAATATTTTCACATAGGCAAGTAGCTCTGTCAGCACAGCACAGCCCTAACTGCCAGCTTTGTTTCTCCCCAGAAGTTCAAATGAAGCAGCTTGGAAAACGACTGGCGAGGTGCCAAGCAGAAGCCAGCACTCTCCCAGGAGCTGTTTATTCCAGGGAATACTGAGATGGGAATCCTGACAGCTGCTGCAAGTGGCTCAGCAGAGCTGGCTCCTGCTTTGCAGCAGCAGCTGGACACTCATTCCCTCCCAGCTCCAACAGGCTGAACAAGGCAGCCCCTTATCCCACCAGCACAGCTCCATACAGCAGCTCTTCCTGATCTCTTCCACCGGAAACATCTGGGGCAGCACAAGTGCTCCTCTGTGAGGCTCTGAGTGCCTGCTGTCCCCGCAGCCTCTGGGCAGCCACCCAGGCGTGCCAGTGCCACTAGATGGTGCCAGGGCAGCGGGCAGTAGCCAGCTTTGCTCCCTGGAGGAGCTGGCCCTGCTCTCCTTGGAGAGGCCAGCCATAGAGAATCCAGCCTTGCTCTGCCAGGAGAAACCAGCCCGGCTCCCCCAGGAGAAGCCAGCCCTAGAGAAGCCAGTCCTGCTCTGCCAGGAGGAGCCAGCCCTGGAGAAGCCAGCCCTGCTCTCCCAGCAGAAGTCAGCCCTGCTCCTCCTGGAGAAGCCAGCCCTGGAGAAGCCAGCCCTGCTCCTCCTAGAGAAGCCAGCCCTGCAGGAGCCAGCCCTGCCCTCCCTCCCTGCAGGAGCCAGCCCTGCTCTCCCTCCCTGCAGGAGCCAGCCCTGCTCCCCCAGAAGCCAGCCCTGCTCTCCCCTCCCTGCAGGAGCCAGCCCTGCTCTCCCCTCCCTGCAGGAGCCAGCCCTGCTCTCCCCTCCCTGCAGGAGCCAGCCAGCTTGGCCACTGACCTTTGACGCTGGACACCTGCTGGCCCTGTGTCTTGCTGAAGAGGTTGAGCTCGTTGGTGATGGACTCGAGCATCTTGACGAAGTTGGGGAGGAAGAGGATGACGTGCACGTCGTGGTTGGAGAGGTGCCGCCCGCAGCTGATGCCCTGTGCCCCCTTCACGTGGGGGCCGCAGAGCAGCGCCACCGTGGGCCGCTGGTGCACGTTCTTGGGGTTCAGTCTGAAACACAGCCAAAAAAGGGACTGAGCAAACCCCAAAGTCTCTTATCTTCTTCCTGCGTGAGGAAAAAAACTTTAAAAAACCCCAGTAAGATGCAAATTGCCAGGTGTTCTGCAGATCTGCCACCGCTCTGCAAAGCAGCCCACATCCTCCTGTGGTGCTGGTGCTGCTCCACCTGCAGGTTCAGAGAGGCTCAGACTTGTCTGGGTGGAAGGGACCCTAAAGGTCATCCATGGGGGCAGGGACACCTTCCACTATCCCAGGCTGCTCCAAGTTCTGTCCAACCTGGCCATGGACACTCCCAGGGATGGAGCAGCCACAGCTGTGCCAGGGCCTCAGCACCCTCACAGGGAAGAATTCCTTCCACATATTTAACTTAAATTTCCCCTTTTTAAGCTCCTGATGAACCCTCTCTGGCTTCCTTGCAGGCCCCTTCACATACTTAAAGGTTGTTCCAGCCTTCTCTTCCCCTTCCCTGGACCCACAGCTGAGAGCACAGGGTCCCAAAGACTGCAGAAGAAAGCTAAAAATTTGAGGTGAGCTTCCCCATCAGAGGAGTCACAATTAAAAAAGAAGAAAAATTATCTCTACTCCCTAAGCTTCATTAACTGCACAGTAAAGTTCAATTGGCCTAGAAGGCATCAGGGGAAGCCATCAGGGCTTGCAGCAGGAATTTCAGCTGCCTGTGTGCCATCATCACTCAGTGTCCTCCATCAAGTGACAGGGTGCTGGTAAAGCACTCCTGAATAAGCAGCTGGAGGCTGAAGGGTTACTTTTCTTTTTGAGAGCAAATAATCAGGAGCAGCTATCAAGAGCACAAAAACACAGGTGCAGTTCCTGCCCACAGCAGCAGCCACAGAAGCAGAGGCAGGGAACAGAGCTCTTCAGGAGTCAGCAAAAGGCACTGAGTGCACTCCAAAGCTGCTGCAAGAGCCCTCCCAAAGAGCAGGATGTGCTCAGGTGAGCTGCAGATGCCAGAAAAGCTGAGTTAGCCTCACAAAATCCACACAGCGCTGTTTCCACAGGCTGCCTTTATTGACAGTGAGATTTTAATGTGCCAAATCAGCAAAGGGAAGGTTCCTTTCTGTGCAGAAAGGAGCTCATCACACCTTCTGCAGTGGCTCCATCCACCTCAGGCAGCAGCTGTGCAAAGCTCAGCTCCCCAAACAACCCCCAGGGAGGGGGAAGGAAAACCTCAGCTGGGCTTTGTCTGGGAGCCAAGAGCCAAAAGTGGCAGCAGAGAGCTGGGAGGGCCCTGCCAGCCCCTTCCCTCCCCCCAGAGGCCCCACTGTACCTGTTGGGCCCCCCCAGGAGGCTCAGGGCCATCTGGCTGGCACACACCCCTGTCATCTCCAGCCTCCTCTCCAGGGTCAGCCCGTGCTTCTCGGCCACTGCCAGCAGCTTCTTGTGCAGCTCGTAGGACACGCTGGGGACCACCAGCCCCGAGTCTGGGGGCACAAACAGGGACAGTCAGACACCTCAAAACAGCAGCAGTGACAAGGTTCATTAACTGTTCATCCACGTTCCTTCCCAAGCCACCAAATGAATCCAAATGATTCTCAGTGAGGCAGAGAGAGCTAAGCACAAGTGTTGGCTTAAAATAACACTTCCACAGAAGTTCTGTGGGAAATGTTAGTAACACAAGGGCTGAGAAGGCCTTTGGGACTTACAGATGGAATATTAAGGTTTTTCTTAATGGTATCCAGGCCAACAGTGCTTTAACCCACTATAAAGTGCTCCTGGGCACTGTGAAAGTCAGAAGAGCAGCTGTGAAGTACCAAAAAAAACCTGGATGTTTTATGCTTCCTGACACCAAAACCCCAAGATCACAGCAAAACAAGCAATCCCACACTTGCTGGTAGGTGCTCCCATGTCAGAAGGGCTGCTCCAGACCCAACAGCTGGATCACAGCACACAGAGGCAGCAGGGAAATGCTCAGAGGATAAACTCTGCAGAAAAACACCTCCCAGGTGTTTGGAGAGCCTGGGCTGGCGAGCTGGGAAATGCTCCAGCACTTGGATCCAGAGAAAAGCAACAAGAGAGGTTCTGTGAAGTGCTGAGAACTGTCCAGCCTGGCCTGGGACACTTCCAGGGATGCAGGGACAGCCACAGCTTCTCTGGACAACCTGTGCCATCCCGTTTATGGGGTGGCCACAGAGCTGGAGCATGAGAAGCTCTCAGCTCCCTCTCTTCCCAGGAATGCCAGCTCCACTCTGAGGCAGGCAGAGGAGGTGCACCATGGAGCAAAGAGGATGAGGATTAAATCAATGCCTGCTGGAGGAAACATCAGCTCAAGAAGTGTGAGCTCAGTCTCTCCATCAGCATCTCTCCTCCCAGCCTGCCCAGTGCCCAGCAGCCCTGGGTCACCCTCACACTCCCCCAGTCCCTCTGTCCCTGCTCTGGGGGTGACAGTGGCCCACTGGGTGCTCCTGGTAGCCCAGCAGAGCTAGGGCTGCCTGTGCTGCTGGGAAAGAGCTGTGGGAATGGGACAGGGCTGTGGAAATGCTCCAAGGGGCACGGGCAGCCCTCATGCACCAGCCCAGGAGCAAAGCCAGCCATCCCTCGTGGCTGGGCTCCCCTGCACACAGCAAACACAAGAACAAGCTCTCACAGCCAAGGGCCACATGGTAAGAGCAGTGTGCATTTGGGCTGTGAGGAATTATTTGTGCTGCTGCATTCCCCCAGGGTGCCCCAGGGTCCTGGGTTGTGAGATGTGGCTGGGGCGTGGATTCTATTACCAACTGTTAGAGGTGTATTCCACTATCTTCTGTTCATTGGGCAGTGCTCTTTATCTCCTCCACAATCAATCCTCCCTCCAGGAGATCTCTGCTGTTCATAGGCCATTAACTATTAATTATCTTCTGTTAATGAGCAGTGAGTGTCCCTGCAGGGCTGATCAAATTCCAGCATCCCACTGGGAGAGGCTCTGCCCAGGGGAGGAGCCAAGCATTCCTCCACGTTCCTTCCCAAGCCACCAAGTGAATCCAAATGATTCTCAGTGAGGCAGAGAGAGCTAAGCACAAGTGTTGGCTTAAAATAACACTTCCACAGAAGTTCTGTGGGAAATGTTAGTAACACAAGGGCTGAGAAGGCCTTTGGGACTTACAGATGGAATATTAAGGTTTTTCTTAATGGTATCCAGGCCAACAGTGCTTTAACCCACTATAAAGTGCTCCTGGGCACTGTGAAAGTCAGAAGAGCAGCTGTGAAGTACCAAAAAAAACCTGGATGTTTTATGCTTCCTGACACCAAAACCCCAAGATCACAGCAAAACAAGCAATCCCACACTTGCTGGTAGGTGCTCCCATGTCAGAAGGGCTGCTCCAGACCCAACAGCTGGATCACAGCACACAGAGGCAGCAGGGAAATGCTCAGAGGATAAACTCTGCAGAAAAACATCTCCCAGGTGTTTGGAGAGCCTGGGCTGGCGAGCTGGGAAATGCTCCAGCACTTGGATCCAGAGAAAAGCAACAAGAGAGGTTCTGTGAAGTGCTGAGAACTGTCCAGCCTGGCCTGGGACACTTCCAGGGATGCAGGGACAGCCACAGCTTCTCTGGACGACCTGTGCCATCCCATTTATGGGGTGGCCACAGAGCTGGAGCACGAGAAGCTCTCAGCTCCCTCTCTTCCCAGGAATGCCAGCTCCACTCTGAGGCAGGCAGAGGAGGTGCACCATGGAGCAAAGAGGATGAGGATTAAATCAATGCCTGCTGGAGGAAACATCAGCTCAAGAAGTGTGAGCTCAGTCTCTCCATCAGCATCTCTCCTCCCAGCCTGCCCAGTGCCCAGCAGCCCTGGGTCACCCTCACACTCCCCCAGTCCCTCTGTCCCTGCTCTGGGGGTGACAGTGGCCCACTGGGTGCTCCTGGTAGCCCAGCAGAGCTAGGGCTGCCTGTGCTGCTGGGAAAGAGCTGTGGGAATGGGACAGGGCTGTGGAAATGCTCCAAGGGGCACGGGCAGCCCTCATGCACCAGCCCAGGAGCAAAGCCAGCCATCCCTCGTGGCTGGGCTCCCCTGCACACAGCAAACACAAGAACAAGCTCTCACAGCCAAGGGCCACATGGTAAGAGCAGTGTGCATTTGGGCTGTGAGGAATTATTTGTGCTGCTGCATTCCCCCAGGGTGCCCCAGGGTCCTGGGTTGTGAGGTGTGGCTGGGGTGTGGATTCTATTACCAACTGTTAGAGGTGGATTCCACTATCTTCTGTTCATTGGGCAGTGCTCTTTATCTCCTCCACAATCAATCCTCCCTCCAGGAGATCTCTGCTGTTCATAGGCCATTAACTATTAATTATCTTCTGTTAATGAGCCAGTGAGTGTCCCTGCATGGCTGATCAAATTCCATCATCCCACTGGGAGAGGCTCTGCCCAGGGGAGGAGCCAAGCATTCCTACCTGGATACAATCTGAGCATGGAACAGCACAGCAGCCTCTGCCCCCTGCACATTATTCCTGCTCCCATATCTTTGCCTGAGAGCCCCTTAATTTCAAAATTTCAATAATTCAGAGGGAGGGGGTTCACATTTTCCATTCCAAGGGAAGCTCCTGCCTTCCTCAGCAGACACCTGGCTTTCAAACCAAGACACCCAGTCGAGCTCCAGCAGAAATGGGAGGTTTTGCACATCCTGGGCTGTTGGAACCCTTCATGCTGAGAATTTTGGATTTTCTGTATTGAAAGACACAGACCCTCAAGAAAAAACCACGTTTGACCTGAAGCCGTAGAAAAAGCTTCCAAAATTAATTGATAACACTGAGATGATAAATCTGTAGTTTAAATAGAAGTGTGTAACATCACATAGTAAAAAGTTTAGAGTTTAATGTTTTAAAGTATAGTAATATATATAATCTAAGATAGAAGTTTTCAGGCAGTGACTAGACCTTCACAAGTTTAAGTAGTTTGTATAATTGAAAAGGCCACATTGCAAGACACAAGTAATTAGTTATTAAGTTAAACGTAACAATAATTTAAGTGTAATTTCTTAATTAGTTTTTCCTTAAAAGACCTTGTAGAATAGATACGGAGCCATTTTCTAACTTGCTAATGAAATGCTGTGGAACTCACAGCTTGTAAGACTGTAATGTAGATACAAATTAATAAACATCTGAGTCCAAACACCACAAAATACCATCTCTACACATTTAATCCCAACCCAACCAAAACAAAAAAAAACCCAAAGAAAAAAACCAAAACCACACAAAAAACCCACAAAGAACAACCCCCCCAAAAAGAAACCACAAAAAACCCCCAAAAAACCTAAAACCCCCCAAAAAACCTCCCCAAAAACAAAAAAACCCCCAAAATTTCCCAAAAAACAACAAAAAACTACCAAAGAACCCTAAAAAACCCCTAAGAAACAAAAATAAAAAACCCAAAAAGGCAAAAAAAACCCAAATAACCCAATCCCTCCCTAAAAAAGCCCCTCAAAACAAATAAACAAAACCCCAAAAACAAACAAAAAACCCCAAAACAAAAAAAAAAAAAAAAAAAAAAAACAAAAAAACCACCACAAAACAACAAAAAACCCAACCCTGTGTTTTCCAGCAGAGGTGAGCCCAGAGCTGTGCCTGCAGGGGGACAGCAAAGAGGACACTGCTGAGCCTCAGCAGCCAGGCCTGGCACACAGAGAGGGCTCCGTGTGTGCCACCATTGCCCCAGAGGGCACCCTGGCTGCCAGCAGGCCAGCAGGCTGTTATCAGCCATGCCCCAGTGCTGATAAGAGCCTGAGCCCTGCAGGAACAACCCTGGTCTGTGCCAGCAGCCACAAACCTGCCCTGTGCCACACACCTGGCCCTGTGCCACACACCTGCCCTGTGCCACACACCTGCCCTGTGCCCACAGCGGTCACAGTCACCCACCTGCCCCGTGGGTCACACACGTGCCCTGTGCCTGCTGCAGTGGTCACAGTCACTCACCTTCCCTGTGTCACACTGGTCACACTGTGCCCTGTGCCCACGGTGGTCAGCACCTGCCCCAAGGGTCACCCACCTGCCCTGTGGGTCACCCACCTGCCCCGTGGGTCACCCACCTGCCCTGTGCCACACCCTGCCATGTGCCCACAGTGGTCATCACCTGCCCCATGCCACACTGTGCCCACAGCAGTCACCACCTGCCCCGTGGGTCACCCATCTGCCCCGTGCCACACTGCCAGTCACAGCTCTGCCACTGCTGTTGTTTTTCAAGCTCCAGGGAAGGTTTGCAATGAGCGACCCGAGCTTGGGGTCTGTCCCAGCATCACTGCTGACCCCACAAGAGGCAGATCCCAAACTCCACCTTTGCTCCACCAGAAGCACCCACGAATGCCCTGCTTAAATGCTGCACCACGTCCCTGAAGCAGAAGGACCATTGCCCCAGAGGGACCCCGGCTGCCAGCAGGCCAGCAGGCTGTTATCAGCCATGCCCGAGTGCTGATAAGAGCCTGAGCCCTGCAGGAACAACCCTGGTCTGTGCCA